AACATCACGTTTATATTCTCATATAATTATATGAGAATTAATATAATACATACTAGTTTATATTCTTGTTTCCACTTAAAAACATCACGTTTATATTCTCTATATCATTTTGATAGAGAATATTCCATTGTTTCAATGTAATGAGATTAAACCATTGCCTCTTTCTTTTCTTCATTTTTAATTTTACATAATCTTTTCCCTTTTTTCCTTTTTTTTAAAGTATCTTGGGACAAAGCACGTACTCCAATCTGAAATCTGGCTTGGGAGACCTGGCCATATAAAGTAATTGAATTACTTTACAAAAACTATTTTCCAAGAAATAGCTATTTTCTAAAGATTACAAGAAATAGCTATTATGTAAATATTTTCATACAGGAAACACTACTTGTGAAAAACAGTCACTATTTATATATTTTTAAAATTTGAAAACCCCCTCTGTTTCTCTTCAGAATGTATTAAAGCAACACTCTGGCCTCCCTTAGTGAGAGATTCTCAGTGTGAAAGCCCGGCTCCTTCCGGGTGGGACCCACCTAGCCTCTGGGTCTCAGCCCATCTAGGTTGGGCTGTTGGAGTCCACATAGCATCACAAAAAGAAGAGAACAGAAATTCGCTTAACAAGTCAGGATGTAACAGACAAATGCTAAAGCTCATGCTGATGAAAGTAATTATAACCACTTACAGGATGAGTCAGAAAATGTTTATATTTTAACAGAAAACTGTCAGAACCTAGCTAAGTGGACAGAGTCTGGTCTTGCCTGAAATTCTCAATGTGTCCCAGTGTCAGCCTGGGTGTTGCTGTATGTCACAGTTCAATGTTGCCTGGAAGCCCCATTCCACACCCTGCAAGATTTTCAAGCACTTCTGAAGCGTTTTTACAGTATCTGGAAAGCCCATGACTCTCACACCTTCCTCTGCATTAATTCGGCTGATAGATCATCAAACCATCCCCCACAGTTGTTGCTGGCTTGTGCACCTGCTCGGGCAGAACTCATCTCCTAACTCAGTCTTCAGCTTCGAAGTCAACACAGAAGCCCCCCCACAATAGACACACACACACACACACACACACACACACACACACACACCATCCGCAGTAGAGCCTGCCTGTTGCACTCCTTGGTGAAGATACAGGAGGTTCTAACAAGTAATACAGACACCTTTGAAGCACACAGTAGACGTAGCGGTTGAGTAAAGGACTTCTGATTGCTGCACCCCCACAGACTTTCCCAGGGGCCATGTCCCTTCATGGAGGATCACCGTCTCCTGCCTCTCCGTGGCCCATTCTTCCTCATCTCTCTCTTATCTGGCTTGTCATCCCCCTTGCACCCAAGAATCCTAAATTGTTCATGCTGAGTTACACAGAGCAGCTCAGCTCTCCTGAGTCTCTGCTCCACAAATCAGTCCCACATCTTGCTTCTGCATCTCAAAAGCAAGCAAACCAGGAAGCTTCAATTTAACTGGACCTGTATTTCTAGAAAGCAGTTACTGTTGTTAACAAACAGCATTTCTTTTCCCCTTATACATCTGTGGGAGCTTTGTTAACTCCTTTGAAAAGCCAGTGCTGAAATAGATGCCCGTATACTCGTCTGTATCTATATCCACTTGTCTGGTGGAAGAGCTGCTACTTAGCCCGATGGGAGTGCTCAGGCTTCGGCTGCAGGGCAGGTTAGTCTCAGATGTGGCTAGCTTCTGTCTCAGTTTCCAGTTTCCTGCTCTGTATTTCCCGACACTCAAGTGGTTCTTTCCATCCGTCTTCTGCTCTGCGGCCTTGTTTGCCGGAGTTCATCTCACACTTTGGTCTCTCTCTTCCCTAGTCTGTGTTTACAAAATGCGACTAGACACGGAGACTGCCACTGACTATTCCTTATGGGTCCCTGAGTGATGGTTCCTGGGGGCCTTCGTCAGCACGCGTTCTCTCTCTGGCTGGTTTCCAGACTCTCTAAAGGCAATGATGACATACTCTCTTTCTTTGACCCCCAACCCTTCATGGAAGGTGGTGGATATTCCCTAATGTTGTCAGGTGTTTCTCCAGATCCATATGATTGCACAAATTCATGTACTCTGCAAACATGTGTCTTCTGCAGTGAGCTGAGAGGTAGGGACACAGCCAGAAACAAGAGAAAGTTCTCACCCTCCCTGAATTCGTTTCTAGTTGGAGTGAGAGGTGGTGGAGTATTTTAGTGCTCCGTGAGTGCTGGTAACACCAAAACAGCACACCCTCCTTTCAGAGCCAGAGCAAGCACCTGTCGAGGGGGAATGCGGTAAACAGGAACGATGAAACTCGCTACCTAATGACGTTTCTTCATCTCCACGCACACTGCTTCTAGCCGCCAGCCACATCTGCTCTTCGATCACGCGGCAATTCAAGTGTGGGTGCTGTGAAACCTTCCTTCTTCAGGATAATTCCATCCTCGATGAAAAAACAATATATTTCGGCTTTTAAAATTATAGCTCTGAAATGTGAATTTCCTCTTTACCCTCCTTGAGACAACCAGACCTGCTCTCTGTCTCAAACACACACACACACACACACACACACACACACAGAATGAGGAAGAAAAGTCAGAAGATAGGAGGTATTTTACCACGTCTCATTCTAAATATAAACACGATGTTCACATTCACTATGTGAATAAAATGCCACTACAAACCTTATGAATAAATGTTTCCGTTTTAATGATTCTTGGTTATACCGTGCCCATTTTATGATGGGAAGCTTTGGCAAAGACAACAAGAAAAATAAGTGAATGCAATTAACAATGAAGGTTATTTACTGAGAAAAAGGGATTCCCTTTTCCACAAACATTCAGCATCTCAGTAAGTGAACAAACATACCGAGAAAATATTATCAGAAGCAGTTTATTCCAAACATTACTTTTCTAGGTTATCCTCTTAACCTACCCTCTGGGATTTATAGTTCAACCAAACCAGTTCACAGTGGAAAGAAAAAAGACCACTGATCTAATCCAATTCCTTGGGAAAAATACTTAGGCAATATTAAGAATCTTCAATTATCTAATTTAATAAAAGGGAAGGTTTATTTTCTGTAGTCAGTAACATGTGATACTGATTATTTCTAATCCCTTAGAAGAGATCTAACATTCTGCTTTTGGTCCTGTTATAGCATGAAATCATCATGTATATTTTACCAAAAGAAGTAGCAAGAATAATGACCTCTGCAGTCTGCAGTCATTTTACGCTAACACACTGCAACATGGTTTTGCCCTGGGGCAGAGAAGTAGGGATTTTCTGTACTTCAAAAGAATGAAAAATTATCATCACTATCCAGAACCATTATAGACTTCAGAGACTTTGGCATGAAATATTCAGAAAGTTTATTTTAGAATTCAATATTTTAAAAGCCTGCTTTAAAACTATTACAGTGATTAGTGGCTCTGTTACTTGGGCCAGTCTTTGCTTTAAAAAGCCCTGTGTCATGGTTGATACCATTTGTTGTTTCAACAAGTAATTTGCATCAACCACAGGAGCTCCACATAAGGAATGTAATGTATTGTTTTAGAAGGCCCCCCAAAGAAGAATTGTGACCACTACTCATCAGTTACCCTTTCAAACACACTTCTTTATTTTCTTTTAAGATTTTATTTATTTATTTATTTACTTGCCAGAGAGAGGGAGAGAGAGAGAGGGAGAACACAAGCAGGTAGAGCAGCAGGCAGAGGCATAGAGAGAGAGCCTGCTGAGCAAGGAGCCCGATGCGGGACTCGATCCCAAGACCCTGGGAACATGACCTGAGCCGAAGGCAGCAGCTTAACCAACTGAGCCACCCAGGCATCCCTCAAACACACTTCTTAAATAAATGTTACTTTTCCTGGTCCTGGTTGAAATGTGTTTCTAATACCGTGATTTTTGTCCTTCTGACATGTGTTATCTTACCCATGTGGAGGGGGTGCTATTTCTCTGGCCCTGTCAAGGGAGCCATGCTCCTGTCTCAGTGGTTCTAGGGACACACAGGACCATCCCAACTGAGGCCACCCATAGCCTCAGCCAACCAGCCAGAGGCTCCCATCTTTACTGCTCTGCACCAGAAAAGCTTATCAGGTGTTTGTGAGGATTTAACACCACTTCTGAGGCCAATGAAGACTTCTGGAGCTTGAGTTAGCCATGTGAAATTGCAATACAACCCCTTCTCCTTGGACTTTTCTGTGTAAGTAGGGAGGCCGCCTTGCAGTAGAGTACTTTGAAAGCTTTGGTTTGGGAGTGTCGTGGTCTTGATCTGTGTTCCAAGTCTGCTACTTACCAGCAGTGTGATCTTGTGAAATTGGTGGACCGCTTCCAGCTCAGTGTCTCTGTCTGTAAAGTGGACCCATCCCAGCATCATGCCAAGATTCAGTAAGATGAGGAACATCAAGGCAGCACGGTGTCCCCGTCACTGCTATTTATTCCCCAAACATTTTTCTTATCTCTCGTTGGTTTAGTCCACATTTCTGCTGTGTGATGCATATATATTTGTTGGTATATCACAGAAAGAATGTGCAGGATGATTAGAAAAACCATTTCTGCTTTTCTTTAAAAACGTGTGCAGTTGGCTTCATTTCTTTAAATGTATGGAATGTATTATTTTTGTAGGTTTTAGTAAGTACCTTTTCCTTTCCTTCCCTCCGTAGGCATTATCAATGTAAGAAAAAGATAGGCTTCAAGTTTGCCTTCAAGTAGGTGCCTCTCATAAACATGCAAAAAAATAAAGATTGTGGAACGCTCTTAATGTGTAAGTGAGACAAAAAATAATCTGTAAATAATGAAATAACTTTTGTTTCATTTTCCAGGGAAGTAGATCAAGACTCAGATGGTCTTGTCAGCTTTAGAGACTTTGAATATGCCATGAACTACGGACAAAATGAAGCCCAACTATTGTGAACTGTTTTTGGCAACCTCTGGGGAGACAAATAGGTCGTAATGTGTGTTTAAACGTCCAACTCCACTCCGTTAGTGATGTAATTATGCTGCATACTTGTGATTAAACTCTCCATCGTGGTTTTCAGATGCTGGTATTACTTGCATGGCAGAATCCTGGAGGAGGTCATTCCACATGGTCTTCCACTGGCGCTCGTAGCCCTGAGCCAGGCTGCTGCTGGCTCTGCCACTGGGGGTGGCCCCACACCTCCTCTTCTCTCTCAATCCACCACGCCCACCCACACTGCAGGCTGGGGTACTCCACTCACCAGTCCTCACCACCCCACCTGCTCGCTCCGTGATTCTCATCGGTTCCTAATGTCTGGAGAGAAGTTGATTTTTCCTGCCAATGGTACCAGTTTCCTTCTTGCGTTCAACTTTGTTTGAACAAATAATAGCACCTGTGTGTACTGAGTGCTTAACGATGTTCCAAGCGATGAACAAAAAAGCACTGGAAAAACAAGGACTTAAGATTTCTCTAGGATAAAGTACCCAGTGTCAAAATCTTCATTGAAAAATGGCCCTAGGGCACTCGCTATACAAAATTTAAAGAAACAAATTGGGCTGGCACGAGTAAGTCTTCTCCAGCTGGATACAGAGAAAGAACAGCATGCGGTGTGGAAGGATACTGGGGGCAAAAGATTATTTGGGGAGTGCTTTCGGATGGCGTGGGCCTGGGGTTCGTGTGGCTACCCAACTGTCCTCTGCTGCACACTTCCTGGTTGTGAGTGGCCCCGCCTGGACCAAGAGCCGGAGCTGTGTGTGTTCACATTCTCCATCTTTTGCCTGTCTGCACATAGGGTTTGGTAATGCTGCACCCAAACAGAAACTGTGGCCTGGGACCCTCAGCACTTATTTCAGATAAATGCTGGTATCGGTGCCAATGTTTTATCTCTAAGTGTTCAGGAATCGCAACATTAACATTAGGAAAACATCTAATTCAAATTTTAGAAGTAGTAAACATTTGAAGATCAAATAAAAATATGCATTTGTAAAATAGAAACCTTAGGCAAGCATCATTCAAACAGAAATTATTGGCAGATAAACTTAAAAATAAGATCTTAAACTGTTACAAATCAAAGGAGCCTCAGGAGACAAAACAGTATAATTTGATGTTCTTAGAATAGAAAAAAGGACCTTAGGTAGACACTAATAAAGAATGGACTTTAGGGGCACCTGGGGGGCTCAGTTGGTTGAGGGTCTGCCTTCCACTCAGGTCATGATCGCAGGGTGTGGAATCGAGCCCTGCATCTGGCTCCCCTCTCAGTGGGGAGCCTGCTTCTCCCTCTGCCTGCTTCTACCCCTGCTTGTGCTCTCTCTCTCTCTCTCTCTCTCTGTGTCAAATAAACAAATACAATCTTTAAAAAAAGAAAAAAAGAATGGACTTTAGTTAATAATACTACCTTTATAATTTTTCTGCAAATCTAAAACTGTTACAAAATAAAAAGACCTTAAAAACTCTTTTTCAAAGACTAACAAACTAAACAATATCAAAAATGAAGAAAAGTCTGAAAATCATTGAGAAGTACAAATGAAATATTATTTTAAAAAGCAAAGTGGATCCAAGGTATCCTTGAGTATCCTGTGTGTTTTAGTACAAATTGTTCCGGCTGATGGAAAGCCCTTTGTGACTTTGGTAGGGTTTGTTCAGGAAGTGTTTTCATCAGAACTTCATCTCGATATATAAGTGATATGGATTTTAGATTTTTAAAAAATCAGAGTAAGCCACCAACAAAATGCCAGTATTTCAGAAATTGCCAGGATGCCAAAACCTTGAATTGCAGTCACTATTTGGACCTTGTTTCTCCCGGGAAACATGACAAGAGAAAGAGAGGATTCACTTTCTCCAGTTGACGTGGGAGGCAAGAGGCCAGGCTGGGAATAGCTATCGGGCAACTCCCTTGGCCCTGGATTAGTCCAGGCTTTTTTTGGTCTCAATGACAGAAATCTATCCTAATGAGTTTAGATGCAAAGGGAACTTACTAGAAAATACTAGGCTAGCTTATGGAGTCTAACATAAGGAAGGCAGTGGTGCAGCTGAGTTTCAAGATAACCAGCAGTGCCAGTACCTCCAGACCCTGCCTCTGTGCCATAATCACCATCAGCCTCTCTTGGTTCCAACGAGGAGTTGGCCCATGATCTGTCCAGTTGCAAGTCCAAAGACCCCAGAAAGAGGCTCTGGTTGACCTATGGATCAGTCAACTCTGGTTCATCTAGAGGGTATAGACATGGCCACTGGACACTCGCAAGTGTACTCGGAGTGGAAGTTGATAAAAAGCGAGTGCACCTAGTCTAGGATGGAGGGCACACCTAGGATTGGCTGCTTAGGAGGGTCCAGGCTCTCAGAGCAAAGACCAAAAAGAAAGGGAAGGTGAGAAGCTGTTCGTGTCATCTTCCCCTCCTTATCACTTCCCCTAGGGAATCCAAATTCTCATCCTCTGAGTTTTCCTTTTAGCTTCTCAGTTCCAGGTCCCAGTCCCTACCCTCGTCTCCAGGCCACATGATACTGTCTGTAGAGTGTGACCTTGTCAGTCTGCCCTCAGCTGAATGGATGGGCATCTTTGCAAGTCAATCAACTCCATCCCTTCCCTTGGAGGACATCAAGAATGAGAGTGAGTGAGACACAGCAGTGCTCCTCTGAGTGGCTGAGTGGGTGGTTATGACTCAGGAGGAAATGGCAGACATGTTTTCCACCACAAGGCCTGGAAAACTGAGGCAGCTCATTTGCAACAAGAGCAGAAAATGAAACAACTAGAGGAGAACAAGATAGAAGCTGGAGAAACCCTACGCTACTTGCTTTCTGGTTAAAGCTTGTGTGCAAAGCCCAGTCATAACCCTTTGGGTCCTATGAGGTAACCCTGTACCCTTCCAATAAATCTTTCTACTCAAGCCAGCTGGAGTTGCTTTCTGTTATTTGAAACCAAAAGAACCCTAACTTACAAGCATAGAGCCAAGGACAGAGTCCTAGGTAACAACATTTACTGGGGCCGCAGAGAGAAGAGTCTTCTAAAAAGACTAGCTAGAGATAGTTGAAGATGGAAGAGGAAGGCCTTCTGTCTCCAGCGTCCCAGCCTCAACTTGACCTATCACTATAATCAACTCCAGTCTTCCCTGTGGCAACAGCTCTCAAAGAGCTCGCTGCAGATCTCCTGCAGGCAAGCCTACCAGTGCCTCTCAGACCTCACTGCACTTGTCCCTTCTCCCTTTAGGCTTCATGACATTGCCCTCTCGTGGTATTTCTGTGCCCATTTTTCCTACTATCCTTTCTTGATTCCTCTCCTACAGCCATCCTGTATTATTAGTATTCTCCTTAGTTGGCCAGTCTTTTTTTTTTTTTTTTGAAGATTTTATTTATTTATTTGACACAGAGAGAGTGATTGCAAGTAGACAGAGAGACAGGCAGAGGGGGAAGAGGAAGCAGGCTCCCTGCTGAGCAGAGAGGCCGATGCACGGCTTGATCCCAAGACCCTGAGACCATGACCTGAGCCAAAGGTAGAGGCTTAACCCACTGAGCCACCCAGGCACCCCTGTAGTTGGCCAGTCTTGATCAACATTCTCTACGGATCATTTCCTCTGCTCCCCAGACGTCAGCTAACATCTTTATGGATATGACTCCACAAACAAATCTTTATCATTAGTCTTAACCTCTGCTCAACCCAGACCAGTTTTCATTTGCCTGTTGGACATTTCCACCTCAATTCCAAATTCACTGAACTAAAATCAGACTTGTTGTTTCCTCTAATTTTCGAAATTGCTTTCTCACTCTGTGTTTTCTATTTCTGTTAATGGCAACCACCCGGCCACCCACCCTGAGCTGTCATCCAAGCCAGCTGCCTCAGGGTTCTTTTCAAGTCTCCCCCATCTTCCTCCGCTCTGACACTCAGCCAGTCACTGTGTCTGCAGTAACTCTGTGACATTTTCTTCCAGCCCATCATGGTCTCCCCGCTGTGCTCTGATTCCCACTCCCATCCTCCCATCCAGCCATTCGTTTTTCTTTTCATTGGTATAAAGAAGAGTAAAGGATGTGCTGATAAGTAAGAAACAGATCCCGCTGTCAGGAAATTTTGTCTAGCATGTCAATTATCTTCCCAGAGCACAGACAAAATTTATTTTTTCTCTGCTCCAAAGCTCTTAGTAGCCCCCCTTTCTATCGGATAATGTCTCAATACTTTAATATGTCATTCAAAGCCCTCTATAATCTGGTCTCAACTTATATGTTCAGCTTCATATTTCACAACCCCCTATTCATCCCATCCCACAACTAGGTGACTCACACCTGCACATGGTCCCTTAGCCCCAAAACACCAAAATGGCAAGCAGATCTTTGCCCCAAGTAGGAAAGTAACAGATAACCTTGGAATTAATATCTGAGGAAAATAGGAAATAGGAAAATGCAACCATAAATAATAAAATTCAATGAAAAAAATACTGGACCACCTTCATCCTAATGAGTATCTCCCCCTCACAGTTGTCACTTGTGAAGAGGGAATGGGGCCTAATTATGCTAAGTATTTTGTAGTTTTAAAGATTTTATTCTTGAAAAGTTATTGAGATAATTTTAGTCAGCTTCTTTTACAAATGAGGAAACAAGTCTCTGAGTCTAAATGACTTGACTCTGGCCAAGTGATGAGGGGGGTAGAGAGTGTCAGGATGATGATTCAAAGCTGTCAGCCTTACTAAATACAGATACCTTCCTGCCATGCTGCATTGCCTCCAGTGGGAAAAATCATCCATGACATTGGTCCGTATTCTATAATTACACTTTGTTTTTGACCCAAAATGAGTTTATCCAGATTCATTGGCCACCCCAAGTCAAACATCTAACATATAATAGACATATTAATTCCCATCTTAACATATCACTGGGCTTAACCCAAACTCCATTGGGTAATTAATCAGACCCACATTCCATTGGGTTATTAAATCAAAGATTTGCCACCAGACACAATCTCTTTTATAGTGTGCTGCAGGTGTACTGAAAAGAAGGGATACCTGCATCTCAATGTTCATAGCAGCAATGTCCACAATAGCCAAATTGTGGAAGCTGAGATGTCCTTCAACAGAGGAATGGATAAAGAAGATGTGGTACATATATACAATGGAATATTTCTTAGCGATCAGAAAGGATGAATACCTACCATTACATCGACATGGTTGGAACTGGAGGGGATTAATGCTAAGTGAAATATATCAGTCAGAGAAAGATGATATCATATGCCTTCACTCATATGTGGAATATAAGAAATAGTGCAGCGGATCATAGGGGAAGAGAGGGAAAACTGAATGGGAAAAAATTAGAGAGGGAGACAAACCATGAGAGTCTCTTGACTCTGGGAAACAAACTGAGGTTTGCAGAAGAGAAGGCGGGTGGGGGATGGGGTAACTGGGTGGTGGGCATTAAGGAGGGCACGTGATGTGATGAGCACTGGGTGTTATATACAACTAATGAATCATTGAACATTATATCAAAAACAATGATGTACTATATGTTGGCTAATTGAATTTAAATAAAAAAAATAGTGTGCTGTGGGCTCTAAAGATAATTGTCAAAGAAGAGTTCTAGAAATGCTCTAAACAATGGAAGCATTTTAAAAATAGATGTGC